TGAGCAGGTAAGTGTGTCTAAGTGGTGTGAGCGTGAACGGTGAAGGTGTGAGTGTGAGCACATGTGAGCATAAACAGCTGGGGTTGTGAATGAGCACATGTGAGTATGAAACGGCTGAGGGCGTGTGTGATTATAAGCGTGTGTGAGCACGTGCAAGCGTGACTGGGTGAGGGCGTGTGCGTGTGAGCACGTGTGAACGTGAAAACGTGGGGTGTGTGTGAGGGTAAGCATGTGTGAGTGTGGAACGGCTGAGGGTGTGTGTGAGCTCTGAGCGTGAACACGTGGGGGCGTGTGTGTGTGTAAGCATGTGAGCATGGAGTGGCTGAGGGTGTGTGCGTGTGAGTGCGTGTGAGCGTGAACAGGCTGAGGACGTGTGTGCGTGAGTGCTGTGAGCATGAACGCGTGAGGGCGTGTGTGAGTGTGAGCACGTGTGAGCCCATGTGCGCATGAGCCAGTGAGGCCGTGCGTACCTGCAGCGCAGCGCAGCCCCACACACAGGAGCAGCCGAGTGGGAGAAGAGCAGGGGCGGCGGCAGGGGCGTCCCTCAGCCACCCCGCGCAGAGTGGTCTACAGAGCCGAGTCAATCAAGATGTCAGGCCTTCTGTAGACCAAATATCATTATCAGGTAACCAAGGGATTTTTGACCCAATGAGCAGAAGTTTTGGTGTCACAGATAAGGCTCCACCATAACAAGCTGTACAAGAAAAAGAAAACTTGGCTTATCATGCAAGCACTCAACCAACAGCTGAAAAGTCCCTAGGATCCCATAATTTCCAGTTGGTTACCCACCCTTCCCCCACGGGCGCACCCCCTCCGCCTCACGTGACTCAGTGTCGCTGCCCGGGATTTTTCCCTGGCTCTACTCTGAGGGTGTCTGAAAAGCTGTGTAAAGGGGTAGGGAGGGTGGACAACAGGCAGGCCTCATTTCTTTGTTATTTTTATTTATTTTTAAACAAGGAGCTTGAACCCAGGACCCTGAGATCAGGACCTGAGCTGAGATCCAGAGCCAGAGGTTTCACCGGCTGAGTCCCCCAGGTGCCCGGCAGCCCTCATTTCTACCCGAGGACCTGCTGGCTCACAGAACATCGCTCAGCCATCTGGCCTCTCAGTTGGCATCCCTCCAGCAAGTGAAAAAAGAAAAAAAAAAAAATAGCACCTGTCCTTATTGATCTTCCCTTTAACTGACTTCCAGACAACAGCCCTTTTCAAAGGTTGGGACACAGAAGCTGCTTTGAGAGACAGCCAATAGGAGCTGCTAATCCGCCCCTAGAAAGGCCGAATGGAAAGCTGGAGAACGAGTTAAAGCCACTTGGCTGTGCCAGCGACGCGCCAGGGATTTAAAAGCAAATGGGAAGGGCAGAACCGAGGACTGTCCTCTCCAGAAGGCCTGTAATTGTGGGCAGGAAGGCAGAGAGACGTGAGCCACACCTGCATCCAGAAGCCTGTCCATCCCATCCCAGGTGCACCATTCCTCCCCACAAGCCAGTATGCCTGTGCCCACAGCCCTATCCCCTCACAAAACACCAGACTGATCGGGGCCAGATTTTGCATACACATTTGCCTCCCCTTCATCGGCAGAAAACAGAGTCTCATGAACAGGAATGCTCAGTGTTCAAAAATTCAGACTGTGATTACTAAAGTGGGAGTCCGAAAGGGACAGGCTTTGAGGTCCAAAATACCTTTGAGAAGGAGGCCAAGTAGAAACATAAAGTTCTGGGCAGCTGCGGTTGGAGTTAATGCGGTAAGACACATAGTATTTGATACTCAAGATGAAGTCAGAAGGCTACCTGCTGTAATAAAATGCAGACTTTCCCCCAGCATAGCACCAGAACCCCTCCCCTTGCACACTGAACTAGGAAATTCCCCGTACTCTGGAAAAGTAAGAAAAAGTCCAGACCTTTTCAGAAGTGTTAGCTTCAACTCTTAACATCTTCCGTAAGACACTCTGATTCTCCTAAGAGTGAAAACAGCTTGGGACTGAGATTAACTATGTAACAGAAATAAACCCCCATCTCCTGCCAGGGCCAGAGCAAGATGTCAGTATGATTAATCAAAACGAATGTGGCTCAGGGGGCTGGGCTCTGGGTCCTGGGATCAAACCCCACGTGCTGTTCCCTGCTCAGTGGGGAGTCTGCTTCTCCCTCTCCCTCTGCTCCTACCCCACCCCCCGCTCATGTGCATGCTCTCTCTCTCTCTCAAATAAATAAATAAAAAGTCTTAAAACAAATTCACTTAATAACATACCTGAAATGTACTTACACCAGCCAGCAAGCATATGTATCGGGAACTTTAGCTTGGGCAACATAACCAAATATAAAGTTCTATTATTTTTGAAAATTGCATAGCTCAAAGCATGGTGTTGTTTTAATTCATACCATCAAACTGTATCTAAGTTACATGGATCCCACAAATATCGTGCTGTCCTCTTCACCCAGGACACCTGGCCCCAGCACAGCCCCGGGATTCGGAACCTGTCATAGAATCCCATGGCTTGTTTTCTTGGCCCATGAGTAGAAGCCGAGGTAATTCCATGACCTTGTCAGTCTTCTTCTGCCCCAAGGTATCACAGAATTGTGTTTTGCCTGATCAGACAAAAGCTATACTCAGCAGCTCTGTTCATTATCTTCGGGGACTCGGGGAATTTCTGGTAACGTTCATGAACATTGTCTCCCTGAGAAAGGAGTGATGACCTGCCAGAAATGTACCTTAAATATTGTATTTTAAGATGTACATAGAAGTAGTAAGTGAAGTGACTGACTCACTGTCCGAGCTACCGAATACACAGCCAGTGCTCGGCCACCTCCCCGGCAAACACACCTGGAGAGGATAGTGAAGTTATAACCGGCCCAGGGCCCTGATCGGAGTCTTCGTGACTCAGGAGAAAGTAACAACAACAGGGGCATGCAAACGAGTTGACGGAAAATCTCAGAACGAAACTTACCACTCTGGGCTTCTGCTGGTCCAAGGTATGCAGGAAGGCGGAGTTGGGGTCCAAGCAGCGCTCGGGGTCACTGGAGATGTCCTCCTCCGAGTCTTCATAGGAGGAGGAGAAGCCAGTGGAGGAGGCAGATGAAGAGGACAGTTTCCTCAGGGGCAGGCTACCCCGAGGGCTCCCCTGGGCCTCCTCCAAGGTCCCGTCCTCCTGGGCACCCATGTCTGTGATGATGACCGCTGGTATACTGCTGGGGCTGCAGGCCTCTCTCGGGGACGTCTTATCCTTCTGATCTGGGGAGAGCAGCTCCAGGCTGGGGTGGGCAGCTCCGTCCCGCTGAGGGCTTCCCCAAGTGCCCTCTGACTGCACCCCTGTGCCACACGTCCAGGCCAGCTGGGCTGCCTCCATGGGGCCCAGCCAAGCCCCAGAGCTCCCAGGCTGCACCCCCAGCCTGTCCCCAGGAAGGCACGGTGGTTCTTTCAGCTCTTTCGCAGCTCCCCAGGAAGGGAAAGTCTCCAGCATTCCCCCGGAGGGAATTCCTGCCTTCACCTTCTGTGTCCCTGGCTGTGCTAAGCAACTGCCCCCAAGCAAGCCTCGTGTTGTCAGAGACCCTGCATCCACTCCTCTGGAGCTCGCTAGAGGCTCCCCGACCATGGGGGCCCCACCCTGGGTCACCTCCGGCTTTACGGAGCCCAGGTCTGGAGGTGGCCTGACCCGGTTGGGGGCCTCAGAAAGCTCAGAGCTTTGTGGATTCACAGTCCTGTCCTCTGGACTTCTGGCTTCAGGAACCCCAGGGCCCCCCAGGCCACCAGGCAGATCTCTTTTCCCCACCTCCCCAGGGGGCTCCCCGTTTTGGGGCCCTTCCCTCTCTGGGGCTGGGCTTGTCTTGCTGCCCAGAGGCTGCCCCTGTCTCTGCACCAGAGACTCCTGGGGGTGCACACAACTGAGTTCTCGGGCCCTCTCAGGCCGCTCAGTGAGGTCAGGGTCGTGTGGATGGTGTGGCCCACTGGATGTGGTGCTTGCTGTCCCCTCTGTGGCCATCCCTAAGTTCACGTGGATCAGCCCCAGTGGGGAAGCTTGGCAGCTGCTCGTTTGGGAAGGCAGAGAGACCGTCTTGTCGATTTCCATAGCTCTGGGCGAGCAGTGGGGTCTGGCAGGGGTCCCCTTCTCCATTCTTGCAGAAGCCGCTGCACCCTGAGCCCCTGGTCCTGACGGGGCCCCGGGGCCGGGGAAAAGTGCCACCCCCTCGTCGCCCTCTGAGAGGCACAGGCCCAGCGCCCTTCCTCTCCGGCGGGAGGAGCCGGCCTCTGCAGTCTCTAGACATTGCTCCCCCCACGACTTTGTCCTCCGTTCCTCACTCCGAGCCAGGGCCCTCCCTGGGGGCTGACTGCTGCTGCGGAGGGGGCAGGGAGAGGGAGAAGGAGCCCTGCCCAGGCGCGGGCTGCGGGCCACCTGGACGGCGGAGCTCTGCGCCTGGATGTGCGCCTCGAACATATCCACTTTCTGGTTCACCTGCACATTCTGCAACTCGCGCTGCAGGATTCGAAGCTTCCTCTGGGTCTCCTCCGGCCCCGGAGGGGAGAGGGATCCTGCGGTCACCACCTGCTGCCCGTCCCCTCGAGCGCGGCCCGCCCAACTCGGGCTGCACACGCTGCTGCTGCTGCTGCTGCCGCCGCCGCCGCCGCCGCCGCTGCTCAGCCTGCGCCGGCCCCGCCAGCCCCCGGGGCTCCCGGGCTCTTCGGGCGACAACGACTCGGCGGGGGGGAAAAGGAAAGAGGCGCCTCTCCCGGGACTGAAAACGCTGCCGGGGCTCAGCGCGGCCCTCCCCCGCGGCGGGGGCGTCTCGCTGCTGCTGGGCCGGGGGCCGCCGCTCTTCACCTGCTCGGCGCTATTCATGATCACCAGGCTGTTGAGGGCATAGCAGTACACAGCCATAGTACTGGGTCCGCCGCGCTGCCCGCTGCCGCGGCTCCCGAGCGGGCTCCGCCGCCGGCGCCTCCTCCTAGCGCGGCTCCCGGCTCAGCCCCGGATACCCAGCGGCCGCGGCTGGGCGCGCCGAGGCGGTGGCATGGCCTGGGCTGCAGGCGGAGGGGCAACACGGAGGGCTCAGCCCCGGCCCAAAGCTCCATACATGACAGCGCCGCTGTAGAGACACAAGAAGGAGAGTCAGGACCCCGGAGGGCGGGGGAGGGGGACGGTCGAGGGGGAGTGCAGGGGGGGAGGTGGCGGGAGTAGGGGCGGGGCGGCCCGCTCGCGGACGCCGGGTCTGTCGGGGGTCCGGGGCCACTGGACCTCTCAGGACCGGAGTACGCTGCTCGGCGCGGACACCAGCGCAGCGGCGGGTGTGCGTTTCCCGAGTGCGCACCCACCCCTCACCCCCAGGGTGTGATGCGCTTTGAGGTCCCTGCAGAGTCCAAAATCTAAAGCCACGCGGCGGGCGGGGGCCCACGTACGGCTACTTGGTTCCTAAGTGTGCTGCGTGAAGGCTCGGCTGAGTCGGATCTCCCCGAGGGTGCGGACACCGCATTTACCGTCTGCGAGTCTCCTCCGGCCGAGCAAACCCTGCTCTAAGCGGGAGGAAGGGCAACCCGCCCCTGAGCCGCAGCATCTGCCGCTCCACCCTCTCTGGCCTCAGGCACCGGCTGGGGAAACCTGAGCGGGACCTGCCTCCCCAGCGGCTACCTGCGCGGGGCTGCGGAAGGACGCCTGCGCGCCGGCCGTTTACCTCCCCGATCCCGAGCTCGGGGTGGGTCCCTCGGCCTACCAAGGCCTGGGCGCGCGGCGGAGCCGCAGCCGAGGGATTTTTCAGCACTGGCCTTGTCGCCTGTCCCCAAACAAGTGTGTTTTGTGAGTGTGGGCGCGCCTGCGCGCGCCCGGAGCCGAGGCGCTGCACGTCCCCTGTACCGGAACCAGTACTCGTCGCCCCTGTCGTCGCCCCCCGCGGAGGCGTGTGTGTGTATGAGCGCGTACAGGGAGCCAAGCCTCCGCACCCCCTGTGCCCCAAGACGCGGCTGCCTCTGAGGCTCCGGGACCCGCGCCCACTCGGAGGCACCCGAGGGCCCGCGCGCCTGCAGCCCGGCTCGGCACCCCGCCCCGGCCCGCGCTCCGAACGCCGGGCGCCGCGGCCGAGGACCGGGCTCGTCCGCATCCTGGGCAGTCTCGCCCGGCGCCAGCCCAGCGGCTTTGCTGCCCGAGCCGGGGACGCCCGGTGTTCGCGCGGAAGGCGGCCGGGCCGGCGGCCCGGAAGACGAGCGACTGGGACGCCCCGAACCCGTCCCTCCTCCCCTTCCCACACCTCGGCTCCAGCCGCCCTCCCGGCTCACACTCGGTCCGCGTCCCCGCTTCCCACCTCTCCGTCTTTCCAGAACCCGGAACGCCCAGGTTGGCTCCCTGGCAGGGGAGGGGAGGGAGGGCTCGGAGGCGAGAGCAGTAAAAAAGCCGCCAAACTTACCTGCAATTTCTCAGCTGCCCGGACCCGAGCAGACTATATGGCCCAGGGACACAGACCTCGTAGGAACAAGATGGCTTGAAAAGTGAAAAAGCTCAGGATCGACCTCCCCAACGAGCTCTGGAAGACAAAAAAGGGGAGCGCGAACGCTGGGGGAGAGCTCCCGGGCTGGGGCCGGCGATCGCGCGGAGGCTCCGCCGGCCGGCCCTGCACGCCCTTCTGGGCCGTGCAGACACTACCCCTGTCAGTATCTGCTCTGGCTACTTCAGTGTTTGTTCAATGTGCGATTAAAAAAAAAAATGGGGGGTGGGGTGGGGAGGAGGGAGGAGGGAGAAAGGCGGGGGTTTGGGGGAGGAAAGCAGGAAGGAAGTTGTGAGCCCGTCTGGGGTTGAACTCAGCGGAACAAGTTTTTCTTTTCTTTCTTTCTTTCTTCTTTTTTTTTTTTTTTTTCTATTGCTTGGCAAGACCGAGAAAGGGAAACACTTAAAAAAAAAAAAAAAGTTTCCATTGTTAGCTAACAGCAAAAAAAAAAAAGCCTTTTGACTTCTGCGGGTTAAAAGATATACGATCCATTTTCCACCCTTCCCCCGAGCCTTGCTGATGTCTTGCTTATTTTTGAAAAATGTTTTTAATAAAGTTTTGGGTGTGCATTTAGACAAAGCAAATCGTGGGGACCTTTTTAGCATTGAAGACCAGCTCAAATCCTATATCAATGTGATGTGTGTTCTCTTACACAAATATGCAAATTCAAAGAAGGTAGTTTGTGGGCGCCCCCTCCCAACTCTGCAGATTTTAAATATGCATCACATAGTATTTTGGAAGATTGTTGGGCTGTGAGCTGTTGATGGTTTTGCAGAGCAATTACTAGTCGTATAAACATGCCTGGACTTTGCACGCTTCTCTGTTACTAAAGGTGCACAGCAAATGGGAAGCTGACATAGTTTTGCATGTAATGCTCAGTTATTTTAAGAAAAAGGATAGTGCTGAAGCTAAGAAAGCCTGAGACGCTTTGCTCAGTCTCTTCCAGCTGGATCATTTTTGAGAGCCATCAGCAAAAAAAGGGGGGGGGGGCAGGGATAGGTGCATCAGTCAGTACTCCCAGGCGGGGAAACCCACCCCATTTGAGCTCTGTTGCCACTGGTGTGTTTTTCATAATTCCCTAAATCCTAAACCGCAGCATTTAGTACAAAGAGGGAAAACACAGCTGCCAGGCTCAGGAGATTTAAAAATCTAGAACCTGAATTGGTCCTTATATTTCTATTAGCTAAAATTTAGATGGAAACTTTGACTTTGTTTGTAGCGAATGCCTCTCTTGCCTGTTTATGGAACAGTACCTTTCCAGTGAGCAAAACAGCCTGCTGCTCAATCAGGGAAAGACTCTTGTCAAATCTGAAACCAAGAGATCTTTTAGCTAAGAGCTTCTGGGAATCAGATGCTTCGAGTCCTTTCTAATTTTTTTCCAAATACGCCATGAAAGTATGGAGCCTTATTACTCTCCCACCCACAGCTGGGCTAAATAAAAGGAACCTAGACTGTATTCAGGTGTTGACTTGGGATCTGGCAGTTGCTAAGGCAGAGGTGCCAGGCCAACCCTTGACCCTGATTTGGTTCCCTAGTGGCTAGTTCCCTGAGGAGCTGCTAGTTCCCAGGAGACCCATTCTATGGACTTGGTTCCTGACTGTTCTACAAGAAGCAAACACCATGTCCGGTGTCATGGTGGAAGCGACTGGAGGACCTAGCAGTGCACACTGTGAACATGGAAATTTAGCTTCCCAGTCCCTGGGAAATCTCACTGTCACCTCACGGCTAGATATCATCAGTCTTTCCCAGAACTGAGAAATTTGGGCTTCCAGGACCTACAATTAGCCTGGAGAATTTTTGCTCGAAGAGGAGCCAACAGCTGGTCAGGGGTGGCACCCAGAAGGAATTCCTGCTTTGGGCTGGAGGTAGAGCCAGACAACAATTCTTCCTGTCCAAAATTCTAACTGTGCTACCAAGAGCATGATGGACTGGGGAAAAGATGGAGCAAAACCCGTATCTGGAAGTCAGCATGGCTGGCTTTCTTCCCAAAGCAGAATCTGGTTGTCTTCCATGATTTTAAATGAATGTAGGGGAGAAAAAAACCATACAGCAAGTCTTAGAAGTCACGCACTGTTCACATTGTAATCTTCAGAACAATCCTATGAGCTAGATACTATGATTATCCCTATTTTACAGGTGAAGGAAGTAAAGCACAGTAATCTCCCCCCTAAATCCCACAGCTGGCAAGTTGCAAAGGCTTGGATTCAAACCTGTGCAGTCGGGATCTAGCTTCCGTGCTTGTGACTAATTTCTCCATATTCTATACTAAATACCCACCATTGTAGGTATCCGTAGGGAAAGTTTGCCTAGCTGTCTGGGGTTTCCATCTTCCCACATTTGAAATGGAATTTCATTTATTTATTTATTTATTTATTTATTTTTTTAAAAGATTTTATTTATTTATTTGACAGAGAGAGATCACAAGCAGGCAGAGAGGCAGGTAGAGAGAGAGGAGGAAGCAGGCTCCCTGCTGAGCAGAGAGCCCGATGCGGGGCTCGATCCCAGGACCCTGAGATCATGACCTGAGCCGAAGGCAGCGGCTTAACCCACTGAGCCACCCAGGCGCCCCTATTTATTTATTTATTTGCATTCTTATTTATTTGTTTGTTTAATTATTTATTTATTTTATTAACATACAATGTATTATTTGTTTCAGGGGTACAGAAATGGAACTTTAGTATATGCGCTGCCAAAGCGAGCACCAGAAATGGAATTTTAAAAATCATAGCCATGAAACTAAGAACAGAAAGGCAACTTCGTCAGTTTGACAAAGGGCATCTATGAAAAAAACCTACAGCTAGCATCATACTTAGTGGTGAAAGGCTGAACTGGCTTCATAGGACCAGGAGCAGTTAAGGGTGTCCGTGCTTGCCACTCCTATCTAGTACGGTACTGGGAGCCCTCGTCAGAGCAGTTAGATGAGAATAGAAATAAAAGGCTTCAGATTGGAAAGAAAGAAGGAAAACTCTAGGTACAGTTGATACGATTGTCTATGCAGAAAATCCTGTGGAGTCCACAGCAAAGCTTTAGGTGAGGTTAGCAAGTGTATTGGTTAGCTAGGGCTGTGGTAAAAAAGTACCAGGGCCCAAGTGGTGTGAACAAAGAAATGTACTGGTTCACAATCCTGGAGGCAAGAAGTCTGAATGAGGGTGGTGGCAGGTCTGGCTTCTTCTGAGGCCTCCCTCCTTGGCCATCCTCTCCGTGTGTCCATGTCCCACTCTCCCACTCTCCCACTCTGATGAGGATGCCAGTCATATTGGATTAGGGCCCACGCAATTTTAACTAAATTACCTCTTTAAAGACCCTACCTCCAAATACGGAGACATTCTGAGGTACTAGGAATTAGAAGGTCAACACATAATTTTTTTTAAAAATTTCATTTATTTACTTGACAGAGAGAGAGAGCACAAGGAGGCAGAACAGCAGGCAGAGGGAGAGGGAGAAGCAGGCTCTCCGCTGAGCAGGGAGCCTGACATGGGGCTCGATCCCAGGATCCTGGGATCATGACCTGAGCTGAAGGCAGTCGCTTAACCGGCTGAGCCACCCAGGCATGCCGGGATGCATTAATTTCAACACATAAATTTTAAGGGCACATAATTCACCCCATAACAGCCAGGTTCCGGGATACAAGATCAATAGGTCGAAATCAATTGTAGGTCTATAGATTAGCTATGAATGATCAGAAATCAAAATTTAAAAGAATAATATTTATAATAGCATCAGGAACTATGAAATACACAGGTGTCACCATAAGAGAAGGAGTGTAAGACAGTAGAATGAAATCTACTGAACACCACTGATGAAATTCAAATGGAAAGATACCCCACATGCATCAACCAAAGACTTGGTATTGTTACGATGTCAGTTTTCCCCAAATTAGTCTGCAGAATCAGTACAATCCTCATCAATATCATTCCAGAGGGGTTTTTTTATTGTTGTAGAAACTGACAAGCTGATTTTAGGTTTCAGAGGGAAATACAAAGGATCTAGATTCACTGGAACAGCTTTGGAGAAAAACAGAGTGAAAGGACTACCACTTTCACATTTCAGGAATTACTATAAAGCTGTAATTACCAAGACAGCATGGTATTGGCATAAAGTTAGACAAATAGATAAACGTGACAGAATACACAGTCCAGAAATAGACGGATATTATAGGGAGGATTGATTTTTGATACAGGTACACAAAAGGAATCTTTTGACAAATAGCGCTATAACAACCTGATATCTTTATGAGATTCAATCCATATCTTGTACCATCTTCAAAAATTGACTCAAATTGACTCATAGGTCTAAATGTAAAACCTAAAACCATAAAACTTTTATAAGGACATAAGAGAGAATCTTTGGGACCTTCAGTTGAACAAATATTTCTTGGATATGACATCAAAACATGTTCCTTAAAAAAAAAAGCTGACAGATTGGACTACATTAAAATTAGATGTTCTTCTAATGAAAAGAAAACCAATGAAAAGACAAGCTACAGACTGGGAGACAATATACGCAAAGTGTATATTTCAAGATTTGTTTATTTATTTGAGAGAGAGAAAGAGAACGAACAGGGAAAGAGATAGAGGGAGAGAGAATCCCCAAGCACACTTCCGCTGAGAGTGGAGCCCAGCCAAGGGCTCCAACCCAGGACCCTGAGATCAAAGGACCTGAGCTGAAATCGAGAGTCAGCTGCGCAACTGACGGAGCTACCCACATGCCCTGCAGAGTGTGCACTTTGATTAAAGGCGTAGTATCTAGAATATATAAAGAACTCTTAAAACTCAATAATCAGAGAAGGTAAAAAATGGGCAGAAATTTGGGCTGACACGTCCTTTAAGGGTGTATGAAAGTGGCAAATACGCATTGAAAAGATACTCAGCATCAGTAGTCAGCAGGGAAATGTGATTTAAACCACAACTAAATATCCTTACACACCTATTTGAAAAATGTATCTGGTGATGATGTAGGGGAAGTGAGTTCTCATATGCTGCTAATGGGAATATCAATGACATCACCACTTTG